AGAGATCGTATATTAACTGAAACTTTAATTGAATGCGGTGCAGATGTTAATCATAAAGATTAGAATAGATCGATAAATAATAAAGAAAGTACTTAAATTGTTTTCTCAACTTTTCAATTGATGTTTTACTTTCAAATAGACTTCTGTGACACTAATTTAAAGTCTTGTAATAAGATACAGCAAGATCCGTATCTCTAGAAGATGGAATGAAATCTACATATAGCTATGTAAATTAAAAAATAGATCGATACTAGCACTTGTAGCAAGACAATAGTTTCAAACACCGAATCTTAATGATGAAGTGGTACCTACAAAGAAGTCAGTCGAAATGATCGATTAGTAATCGAATAGACTCGACGTCAATCGGATAAAAAACCTTCGATCGATCCTCAACCACCATCTCGATAAGCAGGAATCATTATATTTCGATGATCCAAAGAGAGTTTTATGTAAGAAATAGAACAATATCGACTTGCTCGTTCTAAATAATTTGATGAAGTCGATGAAAGTACGATATTTAGCTATTAATTGTGATAGTTTTGTATTTTGTACCATGCATCATATGGTATAAAATTCATATATCGTGTTTGAACTTAGTTTTATCAAATTTGTTGTAGAATAATTATAGGTATGGAATTCACTGACAAAAACTCATTCATATTCTGCTTTACTATGTATTAATATATTCAGTAGTGATTAAATACTGCGAAATCATTGTAACACATCTCATAAAACAATATAGCTCTTAGTCTGAATCCGAGATCAAACGGTTATTAAAGATTATTCAACAAAAAATTGAAATAAAAATTATAATTCATCATATCTTCAATATCTCAATTCATTAATACATCGTGAATAAATGACTATTCTTTTAATTTGTTTTTCATTAATTATAGATCCTAATTGATTGATTCAATTTGATCATGTGTTAGCTACATATTGACATGGAAATCGCAGTTTTCCTAACTTTTTCCTCATCATGCGAAGCCTCGTTTAACACTATTACAATACACTTCAATTTAATGTAAATTATTCTTCTTTTATTACAGTGACCACTCTCGTAAAGAATAAGAGATATAAATATGTCTTAAAAGGTCATTTATACACATACATATGTATATGTATTCCCTTATCAATCGGCTTTGTCTATTACCATGTTATTATTTACGGAGTTGCTATCTGTCGCGTGCGTAAGACACTAGAGAATAGAATTAATTCAAAAATAAGTGAACTAAATATTCTTTTGTTTATTTATCACCTATTCTTTATAATTTCTTTTGACATCTTCAATATTGTTCTTCACAATTTTTATATGAGGATGAGTTGAAGGTAATGCACGCTGGAATATGTCTAGAGCACGTTCGAAATATGAAAGCGCTTTCGAATAGTCTTTCATATTGTCATACATCATACCGATGTTATTGTATGACTGCGCCAAATCAGGATGATTTGAAGGAAGCGTTTTTTCTCGAATTTCAAGTGCTTTTTCATGAGATGAAAGTGCTTTGGAATACG